ACAAACCATTTACTATATGTAAATAGAATACAAAATTTAATTCCTCGAAGTGAAATTTTCCATCTCATTTTTATGCTAAATACCGATGCAGTTGCCTAAGGCTTCTACTTCGAACGCTTTATTGCATTCTACAATCTTCAATATCCATAAAACCGTACTTCAAGCCGTTCAATCGGAAAATTTCCTTACTTTCAGGAATAATAAATTCCAAAAAAAAGAGAACCTAGCCTTCCCACTCGATTAAGTGTAGAGAAAAGGAATGTACACTCGGAGAAACATGGATTTCCCAATAAATCTCGCCTTGGAATATATTACCGACATTCATTAGGCGTCCACTACAGTCATCGCGCGCAGCTGTTTGCTAAGCCACGTGACACGCAACAACAAAGAGACAAAACGGTTAATAATCGTCACATTAAACCTGCGCAACGAGCCTGAACGTAATATCGTCATTACTCGGATCGCGTGTCGATCGTTGTTAAATCTTGAAAATTAAATCGAGAGAACGAGTCGTACATTCGCAAATAAACACGAAACCGTAATTTTAAACGAAGTTCCATCGCAATAACGATAACGTTTGTTTCGTTAAACCTTCGTCGAGGCTCCAATCGAAGTCTGAAATATGTGGCAAGATCAAGCTGAAAGAAGCCCAGCAGAAGAGTGATTTTGATCGAACGCTTCGTTCTTTGTGAGAATTAATTGAACACTTTTTCACCCTACCGATTCCCTTTCCTTCGTTCGGGATTTTAATTTACTCCATCTCTGAAATATTCGCTCAATTAACCCCGCGAAGCAGAACTCTGCTCTGCGTGTCTTTGATAGGTGTCGAAGACACAATTTTTCTTCCTTTCGGCGGTATTTTTCCCTCGCGTGTCATTTCGTTCGTTTTTCCCTGCCTCGGTTGTTCTTGTTACAACGCAGTCTAACGCGATGGAGGAAAAGTCGATATACCAGACAGGGGGGGGAAATTGTGCGCAATTTAATCTTCCAAGGTGTCATGCTTGCGTGGCGATAAGCATCCGCGAATAAAGCCTGAAATATCCGCGAACGCGCCGAGAAAATGCAACAATGCGCCGGGGTCGCGTTTTCACCGAATGTACGAACAATGAAATATTGCCTGTAAATTGCGAGTTTGCCGTTGAATTCTTCTGCTGAAACGGGACACAACGTTTGAGGAAAAGTGCATTGTCTGACCCTACACTTTGACTCAGCGTAATCGAGGCACGGCATAATTATACTTTTGGTATGATGTAAATATGCATATAATTAAGTATTATTTTGAAATATTATTTGTGGTGGTATTATATTTTCTGTTGGCAATATTATTATTACCATTAATAGAGAGGCTTGTAAGAATAAAACAAATGTTCTCTGCCTTAAAGCAAGGACTATTTATTATAGTATCTCGAGTCGTTATGAAAATCTACAAGCAGCAAATATCCTTTTAAATTTACGTACCCAACTTTACAAATTTAAACAAAAAAATTGTAATGTTTCTAGTTTAATAAATACTGATATCCATGAATCTAAGACAATAAATAATAAATAGTAGTTAATTTGTTCGACTTGCCAACGTTATATGTTATTAATAATAATATTGTCACGAGATATCCGCGAAATGACATTGATGTCACGTGTATCGACGTATAGATATATCATCTTGTTTGAAATTGCGGTTAACCCGCCGTAACGCACTACTAAGCACTGCCACTTCTGCGTGCTGCGGTTAAACAATAATTATCGCGTCGGATCGCTAATAACTTGAGGTAATTATTGCTAATCGAACAGTCTCCAACAGCTCTTTATGTGTTAACTACATTTACATAGTTCGATGGTATTGGGATGCCGAGAGTCGCGCTACCTTGGCTGGGAATCTGTCAAATTTCAATATGCAAAGATTGATGTGGCGCATCAATATTGTTAGTGCATTTCGTATTGCACGATTCTGGCCGCTATTGGCATACCAGAACGAAGAATTACGCAAACAAGTTGCGTTTGCATGCAAAGACTCTATGGAGAAATGGAAGCAATTTACATTCGTATATCCGTTGCAATTCATAACATTTCCATTTAAGTGCAGTACCGGTTATAGACTATTTGATATTATTTTTAAACCGTGTTTCATAATAGAAAATTCGTATACTTTTAGCAGGGAATTTTTAACAAACTTTGTCTTGGATGGTAAATATAAAATTCAGCAAATTGTCAAATATTTTATACTTACTATTTGTAGGAAGATCATGAACTTTTATAATTTCCACCACTATAAATGCTTTATTTGCCTATGTACAAACAAACTTAGAACTAAGAAATTTTTATCTTTAAACGAACAATTCGTAGAATGTCCTTTATGTTTTATTCTCTATTCGAAACTTTTGCCTGAGCAAAAAGCCTTTGCCCATCTCTGACGATATGCTGTACAACCAGTAATGTTCGAATATTTCTTACCCAGCTTCCTTCGTTCTACTTGAAAGAGAGCATCATCATCCTAGAGTTACGTTTGGATGGCACACAGCTGGCGAAAAATAAAAGAACGTGGAATTTTGATGTCCTCCAGCTCTCGCAGAGGATGCATATTACCGGAGCTTTTCTCGAGTATGTTTTATCTCAGATGCACTCCGCAACATCATAAGCGACTTTTATAGACAAATCTTTCTGAAAATGTAACGCGCGCTGTTCAGATGCAAAACTGATTTAGGCGTTTCGCGTCGGAGGAAAGCAGATTCGGAGTATACGTGGCGGGAATAGTACCGGAGCATCGTTTTTCTGAAACAGTATGTTGTGTGGGTTTTTTTTTTTTTTTTTTTTTTTTGTAGAATCAAATTGTTTTGGCTTTTCAATATTCAACAAGTTGTACGTTAGCTGACAGATATTAATTTCTCAGAGAAAAATATTATTAGATGTAAACGAAAAATGTATCAAAGCACAGGTTCGATTGCCATCGAGCTTCCAACACTTTAAAAAAGCGCAGAGAGTCAGGTATAATTAAGCGAAACCTGCTCGTCGCGATGAGCGGGTTAATAAATATTCAAACGAAGCTTGTTTATCAATGAAACAGCGCCACCAAGAGGATAGGAATTTGCTCTCTACTTTATGCTTCGGCCATAAATTGTAAATATTACCTCCCGACTCTTGTAGTCTCTTTAATTACAAAACTGTTTGAGTGGTTTTATGCGATATTGATGCATAAAATCGGCGGTTTCCGTTTCGTTGCGAAAATCAATCGAGTTGACGATTCTCTTGCCAATTCTACCAGAACGAAAATTGTCCTAGATAGAAATAAATGGTTTTCGTGGATGAGTATAGCTGAAATAAAAACTTTTCTGGATGGCTGAGCATTCTCAGATGTCAGCCTTTATCTCTTAACGCGGTTCTAAGTGGCTGCTTCAGATTATCCCTGAAGGATCAGAAGGGAAGCAAAGGGACAACCACTTAGACAATCCTCTTTTTCCCGAAGACATAACGGAAGAAGGGTGGCCACGTAAAATCGTTGACAGTAATTGGTTTGTAGTCCCGTGGTGTTCGAAGCCAGCATTCTTTGTTATTTAATTAAAACGTGCGATTAATCGTGATGCAATTAGGAATAAATTGAATCTTCCAGATGAAACATTGGAAACAAGGATTACTCTCGTACCTAATTATCCGATTATATCGTTTAATTGGTTTAATATATTTTGTCATGCATTTCTATCAAACTTGTATTCGAGACAATAATGTATTCCACGTAATCACCGTGAACGTTATTTAATTCTTATCTGATTTATTTGTTTTATTTGTTCGTACGATCTCACTCAAATGTATTTCTGCGATACAGTTTTTAACGAAATTAACAGGCCACGAATTCTCCGCGGTTTGTGAATTCTATCCCAGGTTTTTAATCTTTCAATCTCTGGATTGAATTTAATTAGTAAAATTATTTGATATCCCGAATTGGGAGGATAAAATTCCTAGCTATAAAATACTCTATTTACACGAAACACGAGATGGTTATGGATACAATTCGTTCAATCGAATATTAAATAGGACGTCGTGATTTTTAACGTTACTCTCATCGAAAATAATGCCATAGATATTTCGTTGAAGTATATTTTTTCAATTGACTCGTGTGTAACTGTCGAATTTAACATTTTTTTAAAATGAATATCGTGAGAAGCCGTCGAAACTTGAAAATATTTTTAATTTTACAATTCTCAATTCAAATACAATGATGGACTTGAAAAAGGTAAATAAAACCAGAAATATGAACGAGAAAACCGTCTTTAGGATTCATAAATGGAACTCTGTAACTCATAATTTTCCTATCTTGTTAATTGTACACGGATCACTCCCGATTGATCTTCTTGACGAACAATTTGCATTTATATTCGCGACTGCTTCGATTATAATTGTATTAACGTCACGAATGACTTTGATGCATGACAATTTGCATAAGCCTGATGTACGATCTTTTAGATTACGTTAGCTTGAACGAACGTGAACGTTCGTTAATTTCCTTTGCTACGGCGGTTAACGACGCCCGGACAAAATCGATGTAGGGAGACAACCACGTACGGGGCTATTAGCCTAAACGGTCGACGCCAAAGAGCGATGTAAAGAGACTGTTCGATCGGCAAAAAATTCAACGTTGTGATCGATAATTCTGAATAAAATTTATTCGAGGTCAATTTGTCACACCGGCGAAACACCTTGGAAGACGCAAATTAATCCTGCATAATCTCCGCTTTACCTAAACATTATTTAACCCTCGTGAACGCCACGAGTGTTAACAAAAGCAAAGAACGACGTCCAGGTCTATGGCCTCCGCGACAACATACACACACACACAGTTCGCCTTTCAGCTTGACATTGCCAGGCGATAAAAATCGAGGATTAAAATTACCGATGGACCGCGAACGTCGATAAAACGCGCGCGCCGGAGGGGTGGGGGATAAAAAATATAAAGAAACGCGCGACCGAGGCCGAGTACAACGATTAATGATGATGTAATATGAACACGTTAGTGCGGTTGAGGGTTTCGACGGGACATTCCACACGAACGTGGTGGTCGGGCATAACGGCAGTTGCCTATACGTCCCTCCGGGCATCTTCAAGAGCACATGCAAGATAGACATCACTTGGTTCCCCTTTGACGACCAACACTGTGACATGAAGTTCGGATCCTGGACCTACGACGGCAGCCAGGTACACTACTGTCTCCACTACACACTAAACACGCTCAGAGTACACACGAAGCACCAAAAATCTCTTGTTGGTCCTGAATTTTGTCGAGCGTTTACGCGCTTATCCTTGGAGGGTACGAACGTGTCCCCTAACTCCCTGACCCAAATGACTCCGAACCCTGAAGACGTCGTCACGAAGGGAATCGATCTGGACGTAAGACTTCTCGATGATTTATTTACAAGGTGATCGAGGCATATTGCTCGTTCTCTTTGTACTACTTATTCTCTATGACAAAATAGTACAAAGCTAAGAGGAAATCAAATGCGTTGCACTAAATTGATCTTTGATACTTCACTAGAAGCTTGGAAACTTGTTGCACTTTGAGTCTCTACTTCCAGCCCATTCAAATGGTGAGGTACTATTGACTCCTGGTTGGTGATTTCGATAAATAATGTAATACCGAACAAAATGGACACTTCATCGCGGTGACCAAGTAAATACCATCGTCCTATGCGTGGCATTTACTTTGATCGGCTGTGATCCATTTCCACTCCAGTTGGCCAAAGTTCGATAAAATACCACGCGAAAGAGTCTCAGTTACAAACGAGCTCGATGACCCATAGACTGAAACAAAACGTCAGTTTGTAATAAACGATTGTGTACTATTCAATCGCCCACCTACAAAATGCATATATACCTCACGAAACGGCATCAAAGTTAACTTGTCAGAGAGAAAATCATTCGAATGAAATTATGTCTGATCAACCTGCGAATTATTGAGAGGTCATGTTATCGGATAAGAGTCAACGAACTATCCGTACGATGTTGATTGATTCGAACTCTATAATCGAACCCCGTCAACAGCCGACGATGACCATTCGCCGCTGGAACACGTCACATTTTGCTCGCTAGCGGAGTCTGATGATTCCCTCCGTGGCGTCGTAAATGGAGACGCTTTTGGAAACCGTGCAGGCATCGACGAATCCTCATTGCCGCGATATTCAACCCATTTTCCCGCCAGCTGTCCGCAAAAAGAAAAGTCCTTCCGATCCCTACGCCCATGAGATTCCCACCCGAAAGCTTCTTTGTCCGACACAAGAACTCAGCGCAACACAATAGCAACGCTCCATAGATAGCCGTTCGTTCTCACGCTTCGTAGCTTCAGCTCAGATCTATATATTTATATATATATTTATATATATATATATACATATATATATAATATAGGTTTATACATATACGATACGATATACATTCTTTACGTATATACGATGCATACACGCACATGCGCCAGCATATGTGAAATATCGAGAAGTGTGGGGAAGTAGAGGTAGGTGGAAGAAAGGAGTCCGTGATAGCACCAGATGACCAAAGAACACGAGGTGTCCTCTCTCGCTATTTGTTATCCGTTTCTTTTTTTTCTCCTACGTTCGAGGAAGGCAATTTGTCAGACATGAACTTTGGCGAACGATAGAGTTTCGTCTGACAGCTGATACAGACGGAACCTGTAGCGATAAAAGGATGGAAAGAGACGTTGCAAATGTATTTATTGATGGTGAATTAGATTTTAATTAGAGTCGGAATTATTTTAACCTTCAATCGTCAAGTTTAACGCTGCGAAGGCAAATGACAGTTACTCTTTCATTAGTTTCATGGGGCCAGAGAGTAACGATCGTTCCTTGCAATAATTAAATTCGTCGCGTTGGCAACGTTAAATACCCGCGTGTGTTATTTAATGCCCGAATTTGTCGAAGGCTCACGCTCGCTGAAACGTACGCAGAACAGATTCTGATAGCGGCGTATTTGCAGGAGCGGTTCCGTTAATTGTATTCCACTTTCAGGGCGGTTGCTGCTCGGAAATGCGGTAATAGCGTGAACCATCGTCAGATTAGAATTTGTCGTATTCAATTATTTGCGAATTGCGGTTAACTCGACGTAATTGTCATTAACGGGAACGATCACTGGCTGTTACCGACGCGTCGACGTTTCGAGCATCACTTGGCAGCCATAATTGGAACTGTAAGAAAATCGCTTTATTATCGTCGAGCTGGATAATTAATTGATCGTCCATGGTGGGCACTCGATGAAACGTAGTTTGTAACGTTAATGGACTTTATCGAGAACTTTCGTACCGGACCTTATCGCGAACGTTCGATTATACTCAACGTCTACCTCTTTAAACGTTCGTCGAGCGTCAACAAATGAGATTCTGATTGCTGATTGCAAACTGAGCTAAACTATTTATTTCAACGTTTCGTAGTCATCATTTGATTTTGGTAATTATTGAAATTAGGATAGTCATACACAATTCAGTTTGCAAAGATAGTAAACGTAGAGTTAAAACGGTTTTGTAATCGGAAATATACAAAAAAAAATATATACAAATAAACATGTTTCCATTCAAGTGTGTTTATATGTAAAATTTTATTTAACTGCAAATGATTTGCCTCCCGAACGTATTCTCACGATGGTTTCCGCGAATTTCTTTTCACGTTCGACTGAAACAGATTACTTCGTTCGCTTGATTTACAACAACAGATGCATATTTCTTTCGCGAACAAGCTGCACAGTACGACGGCGTATCAGATTTCATCCGACGTTAAATCTCGTTAAACGTGCTCTACTCGACTGTAACCGAATTTCGGAGAAGTTGAGATAATCGCCGTTAATGGAACAACGTCTGCATGCTGCTACAAGCGACAGTATTCCATCGTTAATCTCGGTATTTTCATTCGCGATTCGAAAAGTTTCCCGTTAATTTCAACCTCGTGCTTGCCTCATCTTTACGCGTGCACAAACGTATATTCTACGAACGAAGTATACGCTGATTCGAAGTTTGATCTCGAAATTTGGAAATTGAAGTGGCGGATCCAGTTTAGCGGCACAAAATCTTGCTTTCAAAAGTGAAAAGATTAACTACTAGTAATCCCGTCTTCAATGTTAATTCATAAAAGATTCAACATTCCACACTGCTCCGTAACTGCCGAGTTCTTCATTTCATCTCTGATTTGTCCACGCGATCCTTTATGTCTCGTGTTCCGCGAGACCAGAGAACATGTTTCATCAGAGGGTAAATTTGCTCGACTCACTGGATGTAACGTGCGTGAATTCATAAGCAGCGTCGGTGCCATGCACATACGGCTGCTTAGATACGAAATGATAAATTCATTTCACTTACAAACCGCCTCGGACAATTTGCCACGAATGTCAGCCGTGGCGTTTCGCGACTCGCGTAAAGAATCTCGCGCGCTTTTCGCTGAAGCGACGAGCATCGTTTGCGTCGCGATGCAGGCACAAATACCGTGAAATTGCGACGCAGAGCCTGATGGAATTCGTATTTCGACAAAGAGCGGCCTCTGAATCCTTGCAACTTCAGAGCGATCACTTTCAATTTCTACAATATAATAGAATTAGTATATAGAATACACTACATACAATTTAAATTCGACTTTAAACGTATAACAATCACTGATTAAGCATCCATTTTAAAACAGCGTTTAATTCGTCTGGCAACGATTGATGCCAAAAGGAAATAATTAAAGAGAGGGAAATGTGTTTGAAAATTCTCCGGAATGTCATGTGTCTCCGGATATCATTTAGAATCAGTTTCAACCAACCGAAAACTATCCTGTTGGGGTGGACATTTAATTCGCCGCGGTTGGATCTATTTCAGTCGCACAATAATTGTGCCGGAACTCGGGCCATTTGCTTAAATCACGTTGGATCGAACGTAACAGATTTTCTCCCGAAACTGATCGAATTATTCGTACTAGATGATGCGAACACTAATATATTATACTACATATTTGTAATATAGTAATTTACTTTTACTAATGAAATTTCAAATTTCGCCTAGGTAGCGAACATGCAACTTAAAAACGAACCAAAATATTCAACGGAACGCGGATAACAGCGAATGATAGATTTCGACGTTGTATCTGGATTATACAATGCCCCGAAACAGCTACCAAGTCGTAAAGTTTGGTAATCGTTGCAAATAGCCGAAGGACGAGCTCCTGTTGATGATGGCGCACGGGAAACGGAACTGACGAGTGGAGAACATAAAACATAGACGATTTATTGGTCGAATCTCTCGCGATTCGTGAAAACACGAGCTGTTTTGTTCGGTGTGTCCACGAGGAAGAATTTCAATTAAAAAATGTGCTGCTCGCGGTGTTCTATAGATATGGGAAAATCGTATTTACGAATCTATTTCTTTCGCTTCTATTTTCCATTTCGTATTTTAGAGATTTAAAAGAATATAAAAATAACGGATGCTTCACCCAGGATAGTGTTAGTAATTAATTCATTATGAAGTACGATCGATAATATCGGATGCATTTCAGTGATTGAGATACATATTTTGTCATGACATATCGATAATGGATTAGTTTTCGTTTCACTATGTATATAGTGTATAGCCATTTCCATTCAGTCCGTAATGATGGATCTTTTATAATCGAAGTGAGATAATGGACTAAATTAATTAACCATGAATTATTCTATATCCGACACCTGAAATCGAGCTGTATCAAAAGTTTCGTATACGAACTACTATTTTTCCTGAGAATAACTACATATGTGACGTCTGTCACGTCATTCTTCTTAATTAAATGGGCAAATTCAAATGTCATGACTGTCATTCTGCGAATCCATTAACAGCTGAAAAATTTCATTGCGAGCTTCCCTGTCTCTACAGTCCATACGGTACAATAAGGTTCTTCTGGAACACTATAAATTGAATCTACGATTAATTCTTTATCTACAGAACGGAATTCATGCCACAGTAGAAATTAAGTTGAATTACTGCTCCAGTTCACATAAGATATTGTCTTACAATGACATTTTCGAACGTCCATTTTTATAATGATTTTAGTTCGCAAGTACTGTTCAGTAATTTAGTAATTATTTTCAGGAAGTTTACGTCTAGATGAGACAATTAACACCGTTATTCCATTGAAGCAGACTTAAATGTCTCGCTTTTCTCTTTACTGATTTTTTTATTTACTCTTGGTAAATTG